CATAAACCTGCAGAGTATCGGTATGAGCTGGTCTACATCTTTGGGGCAAACTGATTAACCACAGAATGGTAGCTTGCCAGAAAGCTTGTCTTCTCAACTGCAGAGGCCTTTTCCATGGCTTTAAATATCAGGCCTAGTTAAGTTAGGAATGTAGACAGTTTTTCATACTCCTACAGCAATATAGAGCTATTGATATTCATGGCTTGAAAGCAATTTTTAAAAGGAAAGGTGACTTTTATTCCAGCAGAACAAATTTGTTTGTGTACAAATCTTACAAGGTGGATTATGAGTCTTGGAGAATAAATAAATAGATAACAAATCCAGGTCTAGAAAACATGAGGTGAGAATGAACGGAACAATCACGATCTAACAACAACGACAACATCAACAAGCCTTTATTTCATCTCAAATTTAAAAGAGCAAAAAAACATGCTAATATCTCTGAGAAATTAAATAAAATGAAATAGTTATGGAGAAAAAGATAAATATATAAGACAATATATACAATTGAGTAATTGATACATTTATAACTATTTACAGAATGGACAGCAGTCAGTATCAAATTCGAACTTACGAAAAGCCGATTAAAAGCTGCAACTGTTGGCAGTGACCTGGTCCTGTTCGGGAGGAAGTTCCGTGGTTTGCTACCATAGTAAGATAAAGAGTGCGGGCCATATGTAGTAGCAATGACATGAGGGTTAAAAAGAGAATGTGTACCACTAGTACGTGGTGGGTTTGTAGACTAAACATATTAGTAATATAATTATTCCAGTGCCAGCCCATTAAGAGATTTGCATACTAATGTAAGGGTATAATGTACACACCCATGAAGAGGAAATGTGGCCAAAAATCTAACATTTTCATAATATAGTGGCATTACAGCCAAAAAAGCGATTCGGCTCATTATAATTCTCAAGTTAGCTAGGCCTTAATATGGTCAAAGAAAGCACTGCATACTTCGTTTGGCTGAATACTGATTTATTTTCGAGAAAATCGGCAAAAGCAGAATTTCGTCCAAATGCCACTCTTGAAGCTCAAAATTTCAGACGAATCTCAGAGCGTTGCACCACAAACTGAAAACACTTGGACCGATAAAAACTACCAAATCTTGAAAAACAACATCAATACATAATTTGACAGCAGTTTGAGCAATTCTTGATCATTTATTTTACACAACGTAATTGAATTTATCCGACCTTCTTCTANAAGACTGAAAATTTGCGTTTTAGAAGGTGAAGTGTGGTTCTTTTTTATCTCCAGAGGATTTTTTGGGGAAATGATTCAGAGCGATTTAATCAAATTTTAAAGTTGGATAAAATGAGCTGATTTGACGATGCTGATTTGATGATGCTCCGACAACGACGGAGTCGTAGTCGGAGTCGTAAGAGCGCTCATGACCAAGTGAAAATCGAAAAACGGAGTCGTAAGCGGAGTCATAAGCTCGACGGAATCAGAGTCGGAAGAATCAGAACGTTCCCATTTTCTTCCCATTCCGTTTATGACTCCAGTGAAAACTGCATTGTCAGAGTCGGAGGCAGAAGCGGAAGAATAAATCCATCACAATGCTCGATTCTAGGCCCGCAAAAGTACAAATTTTGACGCCAAAGACAACATGGCGGACGAAGAGCAACTTTGGCTCTTATTAATCATTATTTTGTGCAGGCAGAGACTATGCAGGAATAATATCATTCGAAAAACAAAGCAATTTTGGGTTCGTGATATCTATCTAGGTCGAGCAGCCTAGGAAGAGTATGCGAACCTCGTCAGCGAACTACGACTTGGTGATCGTGAATCGTACTTTCGGTAGGTTCAGTTAGAGTATTTTAACTTTTAATTTCGTAATTGTACTGTCAAGCTCACACGTTTAAATTTGTTACATCTATTTGTGCATTTTGGAAAGATGGAATTGAGGATTGTGATTGGTTTATTCTTCCGCTTCCGATTCCGACTCCGACAATGCAGTTTTCACTAGATCATAAGCGACTGAGTCATAGGCAGAATCGATCTTCTGCTTCCGACTCAGTCGGTTTGAAATTCAC